ACTATTATTGGAATTGTCATGTTGATTTTTGTTGGTGTAATAGTACTAAGCCATTTTTTAAAAAATGCTAAAGTTGGAATCACTTCTCTTGGACCCAGAGAGTCACATGTTGCTTTAAAAGTTTGAACAGAATGAAGGTGGACATATTTTTAGAAAGCATTTTTGATGCTTCTGTAATCTGGAAGAAAAGGAAGAAAGGGCAACTGACAAAATAAGGCTTAGGTTAAAAAAGAAAGTTTTCTCTAGTTTACAGTCTTCTTGAAAAAGTAAGATAAAAAAATAGCATTGTGAAAGTGAAACTTGTGATCTCTAGCTCTACATGATGAGTCAAAATAAGGTGAAGACAAATGAAAGCATTTTCTTTGAAACCAAATTCAAGTTGCCATCAATAAAATGTCGAGCCTGTTTCTTATCGGCAACAACAAAAAAAGCCTGTTTCAAAATGTGTCTTCTGAATTATCAAAAGGAGAATAGATTTATTTCAAAGATAAGTTAACTAGAAGGAAAGAGAGTATAATTGCTCGAAAGTATATTTATCACTGCATAGCCTTTACTCAGTTCAATGTATAAAAGTGAATTTTATAATTAAATAGTATTTTAAATAAAAATGTTCACAATTATTGTTTTATACCTTAAAGAAAGTTGTTTATTTTAAATAGCACATTTTTATTAATTTTATTTTTGAATTGATATTAGAATGATAATATGGAGTCAACAGTTGTATTTTACAAATCATTTTACTTTGATTTATAATTTTATATTATAAATGGATTAAGTATTTAGCTTAATTGATTTTTTGATATTATATAATATAAACACTGGAGATATCATTTTATGTATTAATTATAAATTTTAGGGTAGTTTTAGTTGAGCATGTTCAATGGGGACATAAGAAGTTATGTTAACCTGCAGCCTGGTCTCTATTTCAGCAATGATTTCAAGGTGTGGTTCCAGTCCAATAGATTGAGCATCACCTATGATCTTGGTAGAGAGGCAGATTTTGAGTCCCTTCTGAGTTCTGAAGACTGAAGAAATCAAGAGACAAGTTCAGTAATCTGTGTTGTAACAGGTCCTACAGGTGATTTTATTGAAGGTTAAAGTTTGAAAAATATTGTTCCAAGAACTCCATGAATTCTATATCTTATCCTAATTGAAATGTTTGTCAAGATAGGAGCATAGAATGCATTTTAATGCTCATTAACTTGATTAATAACACCTACATATACATGTATATGGTATGGGGGCCTCCATTTGTGCTATTGCTTTAAGTATTAAATTAGACTGTTTTTAAATTTTCCCTCTCAGTTTATGACTCCACAGCTGCTATAGGGATGTTTAGTCTACATTCCCTACAGACTGTTTTAGGAAACTGTGACTTAGATATGTAATAACTATAAAATGCTGTTTGTGCTTTGCTCTCTACTCTATGAATTTCATTTTTCTTCTCCTCTTCTCTCCTCTCCACTCTTCTCCTCAACTCTTATTTTATTTACAAAAGCTCTGTTTCTATTATTTCCTTCTTTTCTCATTTTTTCTTTTCCTTCTTTCCTTCCCCCTGCCCCCCCACCCTGTGTCCTCCTTCCCCTTTGAAGATGTTTTTTCCCATTTCCCATTATCTATTATACCTTTTGGTCCTCATTTAAACTTTCAGTTTCCACACCAGAGAAACAATGCAGTATTTACACATGTGGGTCTTATTTATTTCACTTAAAAGTATGGTCTCAAGGTTCATCCATTTAGCTATAAATGTCTCTTGTCATCTCTCTGTATGGCTGAGTAATACTCCATTTTATAAACAAAACAAAACACATCTTCTTTATCCAATATCACTGGTTGATGGGCATTTGGGCTGTTTTTAAGATTGAACTATTACAAACTGTGCCACTATAAACAGGGATACATATATGTGTGTGTATATATATATA